GCCCCATTGGTTCACCAAAATTGTGCAGGCCAGGTCCGGTAACTGTGCGGTAACGGTGCCCCACTCATACGAAATCCGCTCTATCTGGTGACCCACTTATTTCTTACCTTTGTTTGAATGATGTACTTTGCATCGTTGACAAACTCTCGGGAGCAAATCTCCAAGTGAAACACTTTACCACAATTACTCACACATGCTGACAATAACTACAGACAAAATAAATRTACACATTATACTAGCTCATTTAAGACAGAATTATTTGGAGAAAATGTAGAAATTATATGAGGGTAACTTCTCATGATGAAGTTACATATAATCTTAGACTAAAGAGTTGAGAACTTTTATAAAATAAAAAAAATTGTAAAATATTGCTATTTCTGTGCAGAAATTGTTTATTTTCTTGCCACCCCCAAACTCCCCTTGCTGATAAGTTATGCTCTTTAGGAGCTACATCAGCACTTTTTTTGGGGAGGGGAGGGGGTTGCTATGAGTCTTCATTAAATTGAGCTGATTGATGCATACATGTATCATATTCTCGACCTCTTTGAATATAAATTTTGTATCTTACCGTTAATGCTTGCATTCCAATGTGAGGGTTTCTGTTYCCAACTCTTCTCATTATAGCTCGTAACGCATCTTTTGACCTGAAAATKATGAATATTCATGTACACTTAATATTAGAAATTTAGAAATTTTTTTTTTGCAAAAACATTATTATAAGTAAGATTAAGTTTGACTTATGCCTTCTAAAAGCATTAGTYCAGGTGACCACATGACTAGGAGGACAGTTTCAAGAAAAGTACCCTATCCCTACAAAACATAACTCTGTTGAAGATGCTCCCATGCCACCCTTCCCTTATCCTCCCATCCAACTTAAAGCTTTACTACTGAAGTTTGAAATAAAATTTAATTCTATTTGATTTTCAAGAATTATAATCAAGAATTTTCCTTTAACTTAAATTATTTAAAAAAATTCTTTTTATAAACCTTTAAAGATAAGATTACAAAACAGAGATAAACGCCGATGACAAAGCAATAATTATTAATAACGAGATGACGTCGATTATACACGAACAGATACGGATGGATATAGCTTTCATGACGTAATAACCGGACAAACGTATTACTCAAACTCTGCACTGATTCACGAGTGAATACAAACCTCAAAAAAACCTTAGAAATAACATGTAATTTGCTAGTTAATGGTAAGAACTGAAGGCGAAATAATATTACGTAAAATAAAACGTAAACAATGCATGTCAAAAATTCCGGATGCGTACGAATGATCTAAAGTTCACTTTTATAGCCTCAAACATTTCATAAAATCTGATACTATTCTCAAATCAGTTGAAGGACTTCAAACGTACCCATTAGTTTCTCGRGGAATTCGATCACAAATATCCATAATAACTTGCCAGTTTTCAGAGGTATTCAGTTCGCTTGTCGCCTTTTCTGAAAACACAACAGAAATATTTCATGATGCTCGTCAAAAATTGCCGTGAAAACAGCTATAAAATGGTTAACTGAGACCATAAGCTTACCTATGTCAGCGTCAAAAGGCGTAGAATTTGAAAACAGCGGCATTTTGGTATTTTTTTGGGCCACAAAGGCTGAGTCGTGAGGTTTTTGTCGATGTTATATTTCCTTAGTATTGAACTCTCTGCATTAATGAACAATAATACCCATGATGTAATTGGGTCGTAAAACTCACGTGGGTAGCCGCTGGTCAAAACAACCTGGGCTCAGAAGTGYTGTATTTTTTCTCAGTTCCATCTGCTTTCCACTTCCGATTTTTATTTCGCTTTTTTATTGCTTTGTATCCTTATTTATTCAATTCAAATTTATTTTTCGTTTTATGAATAGACTTTTTCAAATTGACGCTTTATTATTCTTTTAGCTTTTTATTAAATTAAAATTTGTATTATTTGTATTATTAGTTTATAATTAATTACAATTATTTATTCACTAATTCATTGATTTATTCAATTCATTAATTTATTGATTTATTATTATTTAATATATTTCGGATTTTTAAAATTTATTGTAAATAATTATGATAATTATTATTGAGAATTCACAACTTGACAGACTCTTGACATCCAACTTTGAATATTAGCATTCATTTCCTAATAGTTTGAGCTTTGGATCCCACTACACAGGGACCGCGGAGAGCCTCCTTATGAATTCTTTGGGATTTTATTGATAATATTGCTGACCGTGTCCTCCCCCCCAAACGAGATCCCGCTCCGCGGTCCCTGTCCCACCCAGTCACCTTTCTTTCATTCCTATTATTCTCATTTGACATGTCATTATTTTGACTGAATTCCAGTAATGCTAAGACCAGACAGGCGTAGATTATCTGGCTTTACGGCATTCAATTAAATACTTAAAATGTGCCATGTTTTTAATCTTCATTTTGTAGCTGTATTTTTTATCTAGTTTTAATTCATGTTTTCATTTTATTTATTTAATCTTCGTTGTAATAAGTCACATATGCATTTGACAAAATTTCGTCATCGTTCTATTTAAAGATGAGTGACAAATTCAATTGACGGCAGTTATTTCAAAATAACGATTACTTTTGTCAAAGTCAAAAATCTATATTTGCTGACTTGTAAGAAAGTCAGAAAGTTGGACCTTAAACAGCGCATTCTTGAGCCAAAGTTATTTATGAATTTTTTTCTTGTCGTTCATCGATATTTTAGAATTTGTTTGGGTTCCAAGTTACCCTAGCAACTGTGGTAAACGTGCATGTTATTTTAGCCAATGAGAGAAGGATATTTCATGGAGAACAATAGAATGGTTTTCGTGGTTGATTATTATGCAAATGTCTGACGCTCAAATGGTTTCCGTAGCAGTATAGAGGTATGATTTAAATTTGACAGTTTTMTTTTGCATTCCTACCTCGAAAAATTCGTCAATTATTCACCGACATATAAACCAGGAATCATTATAGAAAGACAAGCATCAACAATCKGTAAAAATCCAAGAAAATTCTCATACTTTTGAGAAAGTTTACTACTGAATATTGACGTTTGCCAGCGTGCCAGCACTTTCAAAACGAARTATCAAGCAGGATTATTCTCTGTGGTTGTAACTTTTAATAGTTGCCAGTTTTATSTGTGGGAAGACAGCCAAGAACTTTCACAATAGAGTTGTCACTGTTGAAACGTTGAGGCGACAAGAAATACCTCGAGAATTTAAGTGTTTGTGAAAGAAAAATATACTTCCGTAAACCGGTAACGTAGCCAAGGAGATTTTWAATGCATCGTGTGGATTTTTATCTTAAAGTATGAGTTAGAATGCTCGAGACGAACGGATAAAATTTCTGCTTTGCTAAAATCCTCTGCACCGTCAAAAATGCTGTTGAAACTTTCTGTTTGTTCTTGAAGAATCTACAAGTTTGCGCAGTTGACAAGATGGCGTCGTACACGAGTCCATACACGAGTCCGTTTTATTTTCTTTCTTTATTAATTTTCTGTACATTTAGAMTAATATATTCCAGCTCAAATGCAGTCTGTCCTTCGGGTTATGTATGCTATTCARRWTTTTCTACCGTTAACTATCTGTGGCAATTTGATACTGGTATTTGTCCCGGACAATYTGASGGGCAGTGTTACAACAACGAAAAAGATCCGCGAGGATTCAGACGTGGACCTGTGCAAAAGCCTCTTATRATAWTTTTAGGACAYAGATTATTTTTCGAGGCAACAAAAGGTTCTACAATCAARCCCTATAACGTCACAAGAAACGATTTTTACAGTTGCCAATTCAGCAACGGAGAAGCTATTGTATCTTCGTYGTCTGCAAAGTTTGAAGTKCCCAATAAGTACATCAACAAAGTTGGCATTACATACTTTATTGCAGAGTCTAGTAACTTTGTACATAGATGTGATCTTGGAGTGAGACTKGAAGTTTTTGTCCACAATGCAAGTTCATGTTTTAATCCATCAATGCMAMGCAATGAAACCTGCAGTAACAAAGGCCTGTGTGCCGGAAAATTCTTCACTTACAATATGTCCTGTGTCTGTGAACCTGATTATCTTGGTTCATATTGTGAAGAATTCAACAGCTGTCATAGCAACCCATGTAAAAATGGTGCAACATGTATGGATAAAAAGKCTGGATTTAATAAYGARTATGAATGCAAGTGCAGTTTRGGRTTCACAGGAAAAGATTGTGAAACAAATATAGACGATTGTAGACCAGACCCATGTAAAAATGAATCAATCTGTGTTGATGGAATTGGAACATATAGATGTCTTTGCCAACCAGGTTTTAATGGCCAAAACTGCTCGCAAGTGATTCCAAATCCTTGCGTTCCAAACCCATGTGAAAATGGTGGCACTTGTAGCTTGGACAACAACCGTCATAAC